ATGGTTCCAGGGATGAGAAACTTAAACTACGAAGATAAATTGGACAAGTGGGACCATTTTCCATGTACAGATTTGACAGAATTTTTCAAAACCACAATGGACTCAGAAGGGGCCAAACTGTTCCTGCTTGTAAAAGAAACAAGAAACAGGGTTAAAGCATTTTGCAAAAGAAGCAAGTGCAAGATAAGAAAACACGTTTTCACACAAAGTAGTTACGATAGAATGCCTTACCTGAAAATAGGCAGGTGGAGGTGGGTTTGATTGAGGCATTTGAAAGGGACGAGATGATTGTTTAAATAGAAATAATGTGCAGGGTTACAGAGACATGGCAGAAGTTTGGCAATAATTCAAAATACTCAATCAACGCAGACACAACAGACCAATACAAAAATTGTGTGATTCTTTGAGATTGCAAGGATACCTGTAAGCTCCGTGCTAAACTTTTGTGCAGCCTTACTGCATGACATATTCAGTACTTCTTAGGCAGCTAAATGCAAGCTTAATTTAATATAAACCAGTAGGTTCTATATCTAGCTTCATTTTAATGTTAATGTTAATTTTATTTAGTGACATGCAAACTGAACAGTGCACTTTAATCTCCCTTTCCTTTTAATGGCAGAGTAAAACTGTGCACGACACTCTGCCTGGGACAGGCATTTCTCCACTAATTTCTCCATTTTGAGCTGTCACAAGCAGGTACAGACACATTCAATGATATAGCCACAATATTACAAAGAATTCTGAACTCATGTCTCTTAAGGGCAATTGGACTACTTCCAGCATTTCTCTGCCAGATGGCTCTGATTGAAAACGAATGGTTGCTTTGAAAAGACCTGCCATTTCAACATTATTCCTTCCTTGCTTTCACACAATACACACATTGAACTAGGAAGAATTTTCATCGACATTGTCATCAGCCCTGACAGGAGATTAAATATTTAAGAGTCACACTGAGAAATAGGATGACAATAGGAGAGTCTGCCCATTCAGTCTGCTCCACTATTCATTAAGATCATGGATGCTTTGATAATTCTCAAATCCACTTTTGTGCCTTTTTTCTCAAAACCTTCAATTGTCTTACAGAGTAAAATCGGTCTATCTGAGCCCAAACATACTTAATGACTCTATTCACTACCCTCAGAAAAGAAATTCTCCTCCTCTATGAGCAAACTGGGTGATGCCCTCTGGTCCTGGAGTTTCCTACAAAGGGAAATCATCTCTCAGCAAAAAGCCTGTTCAGCCCCCTAGGAATCTTTATGTTTCAATAATGTCACATCTTCCTTGCAAATTCCAAAGACTTGGCTCAATCCACTCAGCCTCTCCCAAGAAGTTGTCTCCAAGTCCAGGATCAACCTAATGAACTTTGTTTGGACTGTCTATAATCTCAGTATACCTTGCCTTGGATAAAAGGACCAAAACTGCTCAGTATTCGAGATGCAATCCAATTAGTGCCTTGTATGGTTTTAGCAATATCATTTTTCTACAGACTTCCTGGTTTTATAATCCATTCCTTTCAAAATAAAGGCCAGTATTCCATTTCCCTTCCCTGTCACCTGCTGAACTGAAATGCTAGCTTTTTGTAATGTTATATCCCTAAATCCCTTTGTGCTGCAGATCTGTGTAAATAGTATTCAGATTCTCCAATCTTCCTGCCAAAGTGCATAACCTTACATTTTCCCACATTATATTCCAGATGCCATGTTTTTGCCCACTCACTTCACCTTTCTATCTCCCTCTGCAGAATCTTTGAGTCATCTTCACTAATTGCCTTCCCACCTACTTTGTGCAAAATTTGTAACAGCACAGTCACTTCCCTCATCCAAGTCATTATTATATATTATAAATAACTGTGGCTCTGGCATTAATCCCTGTGGAACTCGACTAGTTAAAGGTTGCCATTCTTATGCCTCTCTTATCCCATTCCATCTTGTATTAGTTAGCCAAACATCTATCCAAGCTAATATACTACCCCCAACACCAAGGACTTTTATCTTATTAAGTGGCCTTCGTGCGGTACCTTATCAAACACCTTTTGGAAACAAAATATATTACATCCACTGGTTTCCCTTTATCTATCCTGCTTGTTACTTCCTCAAAGAGAGTCCTCATAAATTTATCAGGCAATATTTTTTCTTCATGACATCATGCCAAATACGTTTGATTAAATTACACATTTCTAAATGCTCTGTTAATTACACCCTGGCTAAAGCAGATTCTATCATTTTCCCAATGATAGATGTTAAGCCAGCTGGCTTCATAGCAACATGCTTTTTATCTCCCTCCCTTTTGGGGATGTGGCGAACTATGGAGGGAGTTGCCACTGATATCCTCAATACTGACTCCAGACTCCATCAGAATCAAACATCAGCAGGATGTTTGCCACCTACTGTATCCAGAATCTGACTTGGGAACTAGATCTCAATGCCCACACTCACAGTCACTGACCTCCCAAGGTCAATCACTGAAAGCTAAAAGATTTAATTGAAGCCTTTCATGGGGGATCTGTCAAATAGTCTGGTAGTGCTTCATGTCTTTGCCAATTGTATTGGATGAAAGGCTCATGGAGGTTTACACTAATAAAAGAGAAACTTGCGTTTAGTTCACAATCTTAAGATGATTTTATTAATGGCTTGATGAGGGGCCTATTCCTGTCCATATACCTGTACATCATAAAGCACTTTGCAACCAATGAAGCGGCAACCAATTTACACACAGCAAGCTCCCACAAGCAGCAATGTGATAAATGACCAGATAATCTTGTTTTTAGCCATATCAATTATGGGATAAACATGGGCCAGGACTCCAGGGAGAACTTCTCTACTTTCTTTGATATGTCAAGTGGGCAGTGTCCATTGCATTATGGCTGATATTCTGAGCAAAGGGACCAGTAAGGCTCTGCAGTTATTCATATCAAGGTGATATGATGATGTTGGGAGCTCTTGTGGTGCAGTGGTAGTGTCTATTCCTCTGAACCAGGAAGGCCAGTTTCAAGCCCACCTCCTTCAGAGATGTATAATAACATCTCTGAACAGGTAGATTAGAAAATATTGACAATGACATGATGAATGGGATAAGAGAGGCATAAGAATGGTAATCTTTAACTAGTCAAGTTCCACAGGGATTAATGCCAGAGCCACAGTTATTTATAATATATATTAATGACTTGGATATTCACAAACCAGGATTTCTCAACATTAACTCCCTCAGCAAAATATGGCCATGCAGATGCAGTTTTCATCAGGGAGTAGAGGTGAAAATCCAAGAAACCAAATCACCAGGTCAAAACTAACGTGAATTTCCAAAAAAAAAAGTTACAATGAGTTTGATTCCCACATTAGCAAAATGAAATATTATTATTTGGAAGATAATTTACAGAGGATTAATAAATCAGCCATAATCCTATTGAATTGTGGAGCAGCTTGAGGGACTGATTGGCCTACTTCTATTCCTATTTCTTACAGTATTGTGTGGTTACCTTTTCTGCTTGTGGAATTAAATGCAAGTTATTACACAACGCAAACAAAGGTCAATTTTTTTTGTATCTGCCTTACTGTCGTAGAATCACAAATCAAAATAACAAATATTCCATTAAAGGAACTGGGGGGGGATTGTAAGTTGTTGCAATGTTTAAGCAGAATTTAGGAAAATGGTACAGTTTTAAATCAATCAGCTAGGAGCTATTTCCATAGAACACAGGCGCCACTTAGAGGAAGTAAGGGTGCAATCTCACATCCACCTGATCAAACTCCATATCTTAACAAATGGAGGAAGATTGAAAAAGGATGGTTTGTCACCCCAGTTCCTGTGCCCTGATCAAGTTACAGTGGAAAGCTCCTGGTCAAAAGCATGGCCGTTACCTAACAGCATCATGAACACATTTTAACTTGCTCTTTCCTAAATAATTTTCTATTCGAACATAGACAATGGCAAGATGACTGTGTGTAGATAGCATGTTGGATATGGGGCTGACATCCCCCATTCTACTACAGGAGTGTAATTGTTCACATGGAAGCTTGCACAAGGACATAGCACAGGAGATGGCCATTCAGCCTGGCTTGACTGTGCCAGATCTCTGCAAGAGCAATTCACTGAATCCCATTCATCATCCTTTTCACCATGGCCCAGAAAGCTTGTAGGCAATGTTCCCATATATCTGCTATTAACCTTCTAGATAGAAGTGGTCGTGGGTTTGGAAGGTGCTGTTTGAGGAAAGTTGGTGAACTTCTGCGGTGCACCTTGCTGCTACTGAGCGGTAGCGGTGGAGGAAGTGTCCTAGATGGTGCTGAGCTTCTCGATTGTTGTTGGAGCTTCACTCATCCATGCAAAGGGGGAGTACTCCATCACACTCCTGATTTGTGCTTTGTAGCTGGTTTTCGGGAGTCAGGAGAGGAGTTACTTCAGGATTTCTAGTCTTGGACGTGCTCTTTCTTGTAGCCATGGTATTTATATGGCTAGTCCAGTTCAGTTTCTGGTCAATGGTAACCTCCCAGGATGTTGATACTTCCTCCCTGTTCCTCTCTGAAAGAGCTCATTGGGATCTCTCCTGCCCAGCCGAGGGGGCAGACAGGACCATGGTTTAGTATCTTGTCTGAAAGATGGCACCACAGTGTTTGCAACATCCCTAGAATATGCCCTACAGTGTCACTCTGAATGACATGCTCAGAGGACCTACAGCTCACTGCCTTTGGGCTCAGAGGTGAGGTTAGCTGTCCCAGCTAACAAGAGGGGCAAATGAAAATAATTTTGCATTAAAATGCTGGTGATGGGTCTTTAGAGTCCCACAGGTTCCCTCACTGATGTGTAAATAAATGATACTGCGCAGCTTGATAGAGTGGAGACACAACTGGAGTGGTTACTGTCCTCAATTAACCCTCTTACCCCAAGACAAAAGGACAAATGGGGCTAAATTATTAACTCTGGCTGAAAGGCTATACCAGTCCTGCCAGTGTTAAAGAATTAATCATTACTTGCTTGCAGTTTCTCTTCAATGCTTTACACACCTAGTGTTTCAGTTGCTGGTTTAATCCGAAGGTCAATTTTATGCTCCATCCCAGCCTGCAATAAATCAGAGCAGAAATTTAATTTTTAAACTGCACAAGACTCCAACATGAATGAATCATTTAATGTCAAGATTGTTTTTACTCAGTGGTATAGGGCAGAAGGTTCTGGGGACCTGGGTTCGAGAGATGGTGGAATTTGAATTCAATGAAAAAAAAAAAAATCTGGAATTAAAAGTCTAATGATGACCATCAACAACGGATACATGGTCATTGAAAAAAAAAAAATCCATCTGGTTCACAATGTCCTTTAGGGAAGGAAACTGCTGTCCCTACCTACACGTGACTCCAGACTCTTAAAATTGAATTTTAACTGTCCTCTGAAATGGGCTGAGGAAGTTGCTCAGTTGCACCCAAGGGCGGTTATGGCTAGGCAATAACTACCCACATCCCATGAGTGAATAGAAACAAAAGGAGCCACGTGCAAAAAGAAGGAACAGCGCGTGTCGAGCTATATTCATTGGGACCAGGGTGAACCAATTCATCACAGGCCTCCCAGCAGCAGAGGGCACAAAAGACAGGCTAAAATCAACAGCACTCGCTTGCAGCTATCCACGTTACTAACAATACAATGGAGGCAAACAACCTTCCAAACCCACCATGCACTGGACAGCAACAGCAGGTGGAAGGAGATTCACTCTCATTAGACACCAAGTACAATCAGACTTTGAAAACTGGGAACAGGATTAGTTTAGCAGGAAAGTTGACGTTTCAAGTTGGGACCCTTCTTCAGACCCTTCTTCCTCCAGCTCCACACCGTTATCTCTGACTCCAGCATCTGCAGTTCTTACTACGTCTGACAGGATTAGCTTAGCTGCTCTGGGCAATTGCAACTGGAGTTTTTAAGTAAATGGTGGTCAGTTCCAGGCCCCACCAAGATGCAGAGTTACACTGTGCTCCTCTGGCAGTGTTTTCAATGATAGGGAGAGCACGAACTAGTACAATCATAAGCATCAGGCTAGGCTTTTCTCTAACAGTTTGGTGCAGCTCCAATGGCACCAGAGTGAAGACATGGGCTGACACTCTGGGTGTGGGTGTGTGCTGATCAGCTGACAGGAGCTGTGCAGCCTCCTTAGGCGCCACTCAGTGCCCAAAACCAAAGCTCACATTCCTCGTCTGGCAAGGTTGAGCAAGTGCCATCCCCTGAGGCAGATGTTAGGTGCTGTACTTGTTTTTGCACAACAACCTCCACTCAGGGATACCACTCCAGTGTTGGAATGCCCCGAGGCTGCCAAAGCCTTCGGAAGCAAGCACAGCGCAACTAAGGCAAACAAGAATCACAGAATCCTGACAGTGTGGAAGCAGCCCATTGAGTCCATGCCAACATCCAAAGGGCATCCCAACCAGACCCACTTGCCTACCCTATCTCTGTAACCCTGCATTTCCCATGGCTAATTCATCTAGTCTGCACATCCCTGGACACTATAGGCAATTTAACATGGCCAATCCACCTAACCTACACATCTTTGGACTATGGGAGGAAACCCACGCAGACACGGGGAGAATGCGCAAATTCCACACGGACTGTTGCCCAATGGTGGAATCAAACCTGGGTACCTGGTGCTAACGACTGAGCCACTGTGCCGCCCTCAACAACTTAGGTGAATGCAGGAGAGCTACTCCTGATATAACATTTTTTTTTTTTTAAGAAACCTGTTTATGACAGCATATCCAACCCCAAGAGCACCCCAATTCCGCCTCCCCACCCCCACCCCCACCAACCCCCACACTCACCCCACCTTGCCAACAACCCAACTCTAGATCATGGACTTAGTCAACTCTCTACCCCTAACTCGTGAACTTCAACCCTGACCACATCACCCCAAGCTTCACACTGACCATCCCCCTGACCAGTTCAACTAAATTTTTGGTTACAACCTTTAATCAAAAAAAGGCAGCAAGTCACCAGAAAGATAGAGAAGAGGGTGAGAGAAAGGAAGAGAACATTACTTATACAAGGCCTTCCTTCATTCATTTTCAAATAATTTTATTTCCAAGTAACAGTTGTTTCTAAAATAAATGATGTCCAGAATTGAATTGGAGTAATTGAAGAATGACTAAGCACTGTTTAGGAATAATCTTGTTTCACTCTTACCGTACCAGTCACTACAAATCTATCCAGAGAAGGTAGTGCTGCAAAAGCTGACCAATAATGTGAAATTCAACAAAATGTGTGGCTGAACATTAAGCTTTAGAAAACATTACTGTGCTCACATTTCATTAACACATGGCAGATCAGAGAAAGAACTAATCAAAATTAAATTCAAAATATGGGTCTCCAATCCAAAAATTCAGGAATTGAAGTAATCTCAAATACATGAGTAAATAAACACATTAATTCACACCATTGGGCTCTTACTACCTTAGTTAGGTTTATTGATAAGTCAGAATACATGATTTGTGGACCATGTCAATACATTCTGTCCCCTCTCACTGCACAAAGTGCAATGAAAGCTGCCATTCTCACTCAGAGTCTGGTCTGACGTTACTGTAAGCCAGAAATCTCAGCAGCTCAGCGGACACAGGGAGAATGTGCGTGATGTTTGCATAGTCGCACGAGGCTGGAATCGAACCCATGCCCCTGGCGCTGCAAGGTAGCAGTGCTAACCGCCGAGTCACCGTGCCGCCCATGATGGACACGGAGGACTCCCGACATGAGAGTCAGAGTGGGTATCGGGTGAAACCAGCTTGCCACTTGGACACCCAGCCCAGCACCAATGTCTCAGGGCATGCTCCAGGGCAGTGGTAGCACACACCCCACATTCATAGACATTGGCATCCACAAAGTGCCATCCTCTCTGCACCATCATGGCACATCTCTGATCCATGTACAGAACACTGCTGCACTTCAATGCTGCAAACCAGCATCTCTCAGTGCAATGCTGCTGTACCCTCAAGGGCAGTACCCAGCTTGCTCTCCAAACGCTTTCACAATTTGCACCTACTTGGATGCATCTCTGCCTCGCCTTGTCTTTTAGCACAGACACAAAGCCAGGCAGCGTGAGATGGTTATCAATAGTCACCAGCCAAAGAGGTGGCCATGATGCTACACGTCACCATGCTCTGTTACTGTTACACCTACGTGTGCACTTTCCCACTGGTCAGTGGTTGCCATTCTCCCACCCATCCCTGGCAGCAACACCCAACCCCCTTGCCACCAGATGCCAAAGTGTCCTTTCATTCACTGCCCACGAGTTGGCCGTGGTCCCACTGGGTGAGGAACAGATTCAAGGTGCTAAAAGATTTACTCCTGTTCCTGTGTTCTGCGCTATGATTGAAGGACTCAGTATAGCGGAAACCAGATTTGGATCAATGATTGGTGAATGACGGAAGTGGAAAAAAAATAACAAAACAGGGAGGATGAAAACGGCACTAAGTTTGAAAGTGGCTCAACAGTGGCAGACAGATTCAATCTGCCCAACTACTAACAATGCAGGCAGTACTGTTCCACAGGAAATTCTAGGCTCAACATTTATACAGTTAAATGGGCCAATTGGCCTTCTTCCATCTGTTGTCATTCTTTGTTCCAATGACCAGCCACAGTTAATATCCTGTTATACATTCATAGAATGTTTTCCTCTATTTCTACATAGACAATTTGAATTCAAAATGTGATCAATCCATTCTTTCCACATTAATCCCTTCTAATCCTGGACCCTGTTCACCTACCTTGAAGACTCCACCCCAACTTAAATTGACACTGAACAGCAACTTGGTCCCAGGGAGTGAAGGCTAGTGTCTCCTGGCTCAGATAACCCTCCATTAATCTGGCACTACACATTCTTATTCCATCACAACACTGCCATGATGTAATCTGTGGGACAATGTTGTATTAAACTGGTCTCACAGCAGGGCAGTGACAGGGAGGACAGGGGTAATGAGATACAGCAGATCTAGGTTACAGAGGTTCTCAACAAAACAGATGGTCAGCCAGCAGGGTGCCCAACAGCCTCCGTTTCAGGTGTTAACTGCACATCACACTCTTAATTACACCATCCCAACCTCAGGGGAAAAAGATCATCTATAGCTACTAGCTTCCCGGAGCTTTCACAGTTCAATTTGCTGCTAGGTATTAACTACATTAAATAAACACCAGCTGGCTTCGAACTCAGTCATTTCAAATAAAAAGACTGTCTTTTCTCATTCATTGTTGGGATGAGGGCATCGCTGACCAGGCCATGTTTTATTGCCCATCCCTAATTGCCCAGAGGGCAAGTAAGGGTCAACCACATTGCTGTGGGTCTGGAGTCACATGTAGGCCAGACCATGTAAGGATAGCATTTTCCTTCCCTAAAAGGAATCAGTGAACTGGATGGGTTTTTCCAACAATCAATTCACTGCCATTGTTAAACTCTTAATTCCAGATTTTTTAAATTCAAATTCCACCACCTACCATGGCGAGATTCGAACCCAGGTCCCCAGAACATTGTCTGGGTCTCTGGATTAATAGTCCAGTGACAATACCACTAGGCCACTGCCTCCCCAGTGGATATTGCCAAAGCTTGTTCTACTGATCTCATCAACTTCCCGCATCAACAATTCCGGCCACAGTGGTTCAGAACATCATTCATCACTGGACGCTGAAGATATCCAAGCCGTTGCCTCAATACTGATCTTTCCTAAATTCTGCAGCTGGAGACAGAGATAAGGATCTAGTTTAGTTGCTCCTGTTTTAGTCCCTCATTCCTCTTGTTCCCACTTCCCTCCAACTCTCAAGCTAAACACTGTAATATCTGCATCTCTGTTGCTCAGTGAATGATGTCTAGGATGTGTGGCGGTGGCCTGGAGTGCTGTTGCTTTTTTAATAGGTGTTCAGTTCTTTCTGAATTTAGTACTTTCCTTCATTCATAGCCGTGTTAGTCAGATGAATGTGATCCCTATGTAACAATGATGATAATTATACATTAAAACAAAAAAAAGAGAGGATTTCATAGAATCAGATTCATACAGCATAGAAAATCAGCCCAGCTATCACTGGCTCTTTTGAAGAGCTGCTCGTTTATATTCCTGCAATCTCCCCTCCTTCAGCTATGTATCAGATTCTCATTTTGAAGCCTGCCGGTGAATCCATCTAAACCACTCCATCAGGCGATGCATTGCAAAGCATAACCACACACTGCCTAACGAGGATTCTCCTCGTGTCGTCTCTGATGCTTTAGCTGTACGGTGCTCTTTCAGACAGCTAGAGATTCTGAAAGGCTCTGCATAAATCACATGCATTTTATAAACACACTTTTAATTGGCGTAAGAAGGTCCCAAGATGTTTCAGGGGAGCAATTACCAGAAGAAAAAAAGATACTGAGCCAGGCAAGGGGACGCTGGTTCAAGTCAAAAGTTTGGTCAAGGTGATAGGTTTTAAGGAACATGTTCAAAGAGGCAAGAAAAGCTGAGAAGTGAGAGAATGTCAAAGCTTAGGGCCTGGGCAGCTGAAGGCAAGGGTACCAGTAGGTGCTTAAACTTTGGGGTACACAAGGAGGAGAACAGGGATAAAGGCAGTGCAATTCACTCCCCTCTTGGGATTTCCAGCTTCAGAAAGTTACTGAACACACTGGCCATCACAACAAGCATTGTTATTACAGACTGAATCAGTCAACAGAGACTCCGTCAACATCCCAAAGTCAAGATTGGATATGATCGTGAAGAATTATCATTTGATACTGGCACAGAGTCCAACAGGAAAAGAAAACTCTGCCTGTGCACATTTTAGCCACTGAATATCTAACAAAGAAGGAGCAGGGTTTCAGATAAATGTTCATGGAAGAGAAAAGGTCGCTCTGTGACAAAAGAATCGACATCACAAAACTTTCCACAAGCGCTGTCTCCAGTTTAAACCATACCCAAGGTTTCAGGAATCATTGCAGGTCATGGAAAAGATGGAAAAAACTTTTATCTTCCTCAACTATTTTCAGTATTAGCAGGACAAATTACTCAAGATAGCCACTGAGACTTGTCAGCACTATTCAGGACATTAAACCCACGATTATCAATGATTCAGGACATTAATCTGGCACTGCTCAGTGAAGGCAGTCAACATATGACCCAAAGATAGTAGGAACTACCGATGCTGGAGAATCTGAGATAACAAGGTAAAAATGGTCAGTGATTTTTCTGAAGAAGGGTCTAGACCCGAAACGTCAGCTTTCCTGCTCCTCTGATGCTGCTTGGCCTGCTGTGATCATCCAGCTCTACACCTTGCTATCTCAACTTATGACCCCACTTCATTACCTCCCTCCTTTTGTTCTGTAATAGTGCATCATTTTGCTGCGAGTTTCTGAAGAAGAGTCTACATCCTGAACATTAACTTAGTCTTTTCTCTTTTGCAGGTTTTGACCTGCGTGTGATTTTCTAGCCTCAATTTTAGGATTTTCTCTCAACATTTAAAGTCCAGTTGGCCATCACCCTATATATTTCCAAAACAGCATGACTCCCCTTTACAGAGACCAGAGAGAGCATTTCCATATGGTTCATTCAGTTGGGGTCAAGGCCAAGCAGATGGAGTGACTGGCTCATGACCAGCTGCTATATTGGGCTCCCTCTCATATCTAAGTACTCACTGGAGCCTCCTGTGAATATGGGTAAACTTTTTGCTTTTAAAGCCCCTCATTTGTGAAGATGACGGAGAAGCCCTGCTTAACTCTGCTGCCTCTCAGTCAATTTGATGCAAGCATTGAATTAGCAGTCACTCACTGTGCAGTTCAAGCATGCAAATGTGTGTTTATGGAACTGCAGCTACCCTCACAGGGCTCCAAACAACATAGCTCAATCTCATAGACACAGCACTGAGGGTGCTGCTTATTTGAATATGGAACTCTCTGTAGCTGACTGATATCGTTATCATAAAGGCCTAGTATGACTCAGTGTACCAGCTGCAGTTTTAAAGAATTTGTTTGTTCATAGGGAGGGTTCACGTGAGCAATTGCAATTTAATTATTGCTCAGACATGAATTAATTCTATTAACAATTGCCATTCAAATAATAGTCCTCTCTCAATAATCATTTTCAATGCCTCCACTACAGTCATCAGAAGGTTAGTAGAATGGAGTTTGATTTAGAATGCTATTGATCTGAAATGTTATTGATCGCCTTAGCTGTGGTGGTGCAATTTATCAAAACGTGAGCAGGGTTTCCAGAGCAGGTTGTTGGAAGTGGATTGGCCTGAAGCCTCCTCAGTGAGATGGAAGCCCTCAATAAAAAGGATTTTTGCTTTTAGCTTTGTACTTACAAACCATCAACCATGCAGGGAAAAGTCTCCAAGACACAGCTGCATTATTGTAATAGCGTTGAATTGACACAGCATGGTGGAGGAATGCACTTGCTTATGTAAAAAAAGCTATCGGAAGTCTTTGGAAATAGCCATAACCAATACTAAACTCATCATTGAATAGCTAAATAAAAACTGAAAGAACTGCGAATGCAGTAAATCAGGAACAAAAACAAAGTTGCTGGAAAAGCTCAGCAGGTCTGGCAGCATATGTGAAGGAAGAAACAGCATTAACGGACCTGAAACATTAACACTGAATAGCTGAACTTGCTTGAAAGGCTGAATGGCCTACTCCTCATCCTAGATGTTTCCTCCAAAAGGATAAATAGTTTCATTTTTGGGGACATGGACATACGAATATTTGACAGCACAAAGTTTGATGAGCCCACACACACACACACGTTACAGTTAACTTGACCAGTCATACTGAGCAGTGCTCATGCAGGAACTGCTCTTCACCTCCCTCCAGTATGGTATTCCAATATTGGCGTACTCCAGGTTGATATCACAGGCGATGACTTTCCCATCATCCGGTATTGCAAGTGCCATGTTTAAGCTGTTATATCCAGTGTAGACACCTGAAGAAACAAAACAAGCTGGACATCAAGCGGCAAAACGAAACAGCAGCTTCGCTAAAGATCTGTTGGTAGAAGTTGATTTGCCTCCTGTACAAGAATGCCTCAAAAAGATATCAAAATGGCCCAGTCACACTCAGAATTTGCAAACACCGGGGCTCTGTTTGAGCTTCTCAATCTCCTTCTCTCAACAATCTAGGTGCCAGCTCAAATCACAAGACATTGATCCCATCTAACAGCCAGGGACAGGGATGTGACTTATTGTTCCCTGTCTCTATGAGCATAGAGTGACGGTGAAAGCCGCTAATATTGCTGCTCTACATATTGACATATCAGGCCATGTCATCAGCCAAAGGCTTCACAAGGTCATTGATGCAAAGTAAATGATAGAAGTTTCTGGATTTTAAAGGCCGAGGGATTGAAATCAGATATTGTCACTGCCCGTCACTCAACTGCATGCTGCCCCATGTGCAAAGACAGATTTGTATTCATACAACATTTTCGATTTCTAAGGATGATGCAATTAAGTACTTTTCTTAAAAAAATGTAGTAGTAACTCTTACAAAGCAGGAAATGCAATGTGTAATCCCATAAATGTGATTAATGGCCAGATAATCTGCAGAGTCATGCTGGTTTAAGAGATAAATATTTGTCAGTTTTTGATCTCAGTTAGCCTGCAGCATATGAATAACCTGTTTTGACTCCATTCCCCTGGAGGTCAGAATGACACAGTGGTCATCAAGTCCTGGTCCATTGCCTTCTAAAGCTTTTCTCAACATTATAAATCTTCCCTATTGCATGACTGCGGCATCCTGAACACTTCTCCTAATCCCCTACTCTCTAACACACGCCGCCTTCAACCTCCCTGACTAAGATATCCATTATGGTTCAAAGATAGTATTCCTGCCTCTGAGACAGTGTCTATTTAAGCCTTCTACCTCAGATCTTGGCAGGTACTCCAATGAAGTACTGAGTGTGTGCTACGTTTGAATGTATTGTCTTTAATGTAAACCTTTAAACTAAGGTCTTTTGTGCCCTCTCAAATGGGCTTAACTGCCTCTTATTTTGAAGAGCAGTACAGTCATGCCCAGTGTCTGAATCAATGTCATTCAGGCTGAAACATTTGTTCTTTGTGGGAACGTACTGTGTGCAAACTGGCTGTCAAATTTCCTATATTACCATGGTGATTGTTCTTCAAATGTAGTTACTAAATGGAGGCACTACATAAATGCAATTCTTTCCACCACTGCCCAACCCTTTTAGGGCCTTCACAAAACGCAGTCTTGATCAAACATTCCCAACACATCTTCAGCATCAGTTGTATTTTGCTCCTGTGAATCACTGGGAGATTTCTCCTGTTAAAAATCACTTCATCTGGATTGCAGCTGGCTTCTGGGGAGCTGACTCAAAAAGGTCCCTCAGGTTTATCCTACACAATTTCTTGTAGAGCTCATGAGAATCACATTCCCATCATTCTAAACCACCTAAAGCCAAAAAGGTCCTGTTCACATGCAATGAATAATTTTTGATTAAATACATCTGTTGATCGCACATTCTAAGTATTACATAACTTTACTTATTGCAACCCACTTGGACAAAATTACATTTTTGCTCACCATTAGAACCCCTTGGATGCCCATTGTCAGTCCAAGATGTATTTTCAGTTTATGTCACCCATAGTGAACCATTAGTGATCCTTAGATATTGCATTGTTCTGTACGAATGCTTCTTCGTTCATTAACATTGACTTCCACACAAGCTGGTTTACCAGTGAAGTGCAAAGTCAGGATTCTTGTGGAAGTTTACTTACCTAGTTCAAGCACCTTCTTTGCTTTAATAAGCTTTGCCAGATTGCCAAAGAATTGAGCCTGTTCACAAGCCACCAACATCACACACATTCGATCCTGGAGAGTCCGCTGACAAGAAATTTTACAAAGAAAATTTTTTTAAAAAAAGGGAGAAAGAGATTTCCAAACACATTGCTTTTTAGGAACATAGGAACTGGAGTAGGCCATTCAGCCCTTATGGTGTATTCCACCATTCAGTGAGATCATGCCTGATCTGTGGACTAACGCAATATACGCTAATACCTTTGCTTAACAAAAAAAATTATTAATCTCAGATTTAAAATTAACTGATTTAGCATCAACAGCCATTTGTGGAAGAGAGCTCCAAACCTCTACCACCCTGCATGTGTAGGAGTGCTTCCTAAATCTGTCCTGAACAGCCTGGCAGTATGTTTAAGAATATGCCTCCTAGTTATAGAACCTAGAAATAGTTTATATGCCCTGTCTTTTCCTGTTAATATCTTGAAGGCTTCCATCAGATTACTCTTTTAATTCTAAAAATTCTTGAGGAACAAGCCTAATTTGTGTAATCTCTGCTCATACCTTAACCCCCGAAGTTCAGGGCTTTTTTTTAGTAAACCTATATTGTATTCATTCCAAGGCCAATATATCCTTCCTATGGTGAGGTCAGGGTTAGGTTTTCAAAGATGTACCACTCTGCTGATGTCCTATCAATCATGGTCAGTGGGTTATGAGCAAAGTACGTCTGTTTTGTTTCTTCATGTTTTGACAGTTGCCAAGTCTGTGCCACTCGCTATCAATTATAAAAATGCATGGCAATGAAAATGTGGCTTTAATTTTGCAAGACAAAAAGTGAACGATTGAAAACAGAGATTCAAAGCATCCAAATTACAGCTGGAAAATGCTTGTATAATTCATTCAATGTGTACACAAAACACCTTTGATTAGCACAGATTGGTTATCTGTAACGCACCCCTTTGAAGGCCTTCAACTGGTTAGCCATAAAGCAGCTAAAATGATGTAGAATGTATGAGAAAATATTAATTAGGAAGCTCCCAGCAAAAATTAAATCTCTACAGGACAGGTAATTAAGAATATGAAACCTTACAAATGCCATTATCCATTTTGCATGCTGTCTCAGCATGTACAATTAGATTACAAGATCTAGCATCCTTTGCATTTCTGGGAAAATAGTCAGGACGCAAGCCAAAACGCAAACACTGGTTTACTGGACCATTGCCGAGTCACCTACAATGCTGTGACCTGGATTCACAAACAAGTCAAGACCAGGTAAACACGCCAGATTTTCTCTCCTGAGATAACAAGGTGTAGAGCTGGATGAACACAGCAGGCCAAGCAGCATCATAGCAGCAGGAAGGCTATGGAGGGTCTAGGCCCGAAACGTCAGCCTTCCTGCTCCTATGATGCTGCTTGGCCTGTTGTGTTCATCCAGCTCTGTACACCTTGTTATCTCAGATTTTCCAGCATCTGCAGTTCCTACTATCTCAGAGTTTCTCTCCTGATCAACATCAATGGACCTCCAAACAATCTGATGTTTTCACAGTCACCATGTCAGGGATTAGATTTTTTTTTTTTTTAAAAAAAAACTTTTTTTTGTACAAAACGTCTGACACGTTGAGAATTATCTCAGGGCACAGCCACAACCCCTTTCTAAGATGGAAGCTACAAATTTCAGCTGGGTCATTTGCTGGGTATGTGTAGCCTTCAGATGTCTTTGGAGACAAGACCTCTTGACTAGACATATTGCTGGAACTAAGACTGAGAAATGAGACTCAGTTTACGGAGAAAAGGATCAAAACTCACTACCTATATCAAAAGGGAACCTGACAACGAACCATTGTAAGCACTTTGTAAAAATGGACTGTTATGCCCCCCTTCACGGGGCAACAGTCAGGTTTTTACACTGGAAACTACTTCCTGTAAGCTTCCCTGATATAAGTTGAATTTTCTTGTGACAGAAAGAGGGACAGCCAGAAATACTAGTCACCTCCAGGATAAGATTCTCCCTCTTTCATTGAAAAAGGTACCTAGTTCGGCAGAAACGATGAACCCGGAGAGAAAAACACAGTCTTAGCTGCTTTGCGGGTAACCAGTTGAAAGCAGTACGAAAGTGTACCAAAGGGGTGTGTAACAGATAACCAATCTGAATTAATCAAAGGTGTTTTGAAATGCATTTTTGACTTATGATCAGACCGATGCAACCCAGTCCTTGACTGAGTAGTACAAACATTTTCCCGCTGTAGTTTGGACGCTGGGGATTGGCTTTCAATTGTTCACTTCGCCTTACAAAATTCAAACGCGTTTTCACGTAATGTGAATGTAATCTTTTACAAAGATGGAAATCTACCATACAACTGTCTCCAGAAGAACCACTGTTCAACTTAATTCCTTCAATGAACATGAGTAACTCTTTCTGTTGCACCTCCCACACAGTGTACATCATCGTGTCTGTGTCTGTGTGTATTACAGAATTTGGAATGTCTTTTACCTGTTAAATAAGTGTTATTCAAGTGAAGTATAGGTTTCAATAAACGGACTCTTTGATTCTGAATATCAGAAGGAAGTCTGTCTGGCATGCCCTTCATATTTATTTCATGATCATGTGCATATGATTTTAACATTTCAAAACTCAGTTATACCAAGCTCCGGAAAGAGCGGAATTTACGTTCTCCACCCCCCAACTTGGTCATCTAAGTTTACTGCCTACATCCAGCTCCCTGGTCTTTTAATTGTGGCTAGCCTTCATTCTACGCTTAGCATTAAATCCCACTGAATGGCAATTAACTCACTGACCATCCTTAGCTTCTTCAGGACCGGATGCTCTCGGAGAGAATTCTGTAAAACGTAATCCATTAAAGGGTCTCCTTTTGCATCACCGTGGCTCTTAAAGGTTCTTAAAAGTGAATAACGGCGTGAGAACAACTTTCTCCCTATGAGAAAAAGTCAAATGGTTAGCTAATCAGGTTGCCCAAATTCTTATATAAATCCATCACAAAAGCACCTAAATAGCTACAGAGATAGTGGATGCATTGGTTGTAATTTCCGAAAAATCCTTGGATGTTGGAGAAGTACCAGAGGATTGGAAAGTTGCCAATGTGACAGCCCTATCCAAAAAGGGAGGGAGGCAAAAAGCAGGTATCTATAGGCCAATTAGCATGACATCTGTTGCTGGAAAAATATTGGAAATCAATTATTAAGGAAGTAATAGCAGCACATTTGGAAAATTGTAAAATAATCAAGCAAAGCCCAGCATAGCTTCATGAAAGGGAAACTGTGTCAGACTGATTTGTTAGAGGTTTTCAAGGATAGAGGGGATCCAGTAGATGTGGTGTATTTGGATTTCTAAAAGGTGTTCATTGGGTAACTCACAAAATCATAAGATAAGGTAGCAATCATAACTCTGTTACTTTTACAATAGTCATGGAAAAGGATAGGTACATACAGCAGGTTAAGGTTTATAATTGGGGGAAGGGTAATTACAATTCTGTTAGACAAGAACTGGGTAACATAAAATGGGAACAGATGCTGTCAGGGAAGAGCACTATTGGAATGTGGAGATTGTTTAAGGAATGCATACTGCGTGTGCTCGATATGTTTGTACCTAGCAGGCAGGGAAGATGCGGTCGAGTGAGGGAGCCTCGGTTCTCAAGAGAGGTTGAACAACTGGTTAAGAAGAAGAAGGATGCTTATATGAGGTTTAGGAAACAAGGAACGGAAAAGGCTCTAGAGGGATACAAGTTATCCAGGAAGGAGATGAAGAAAGGACTTAGGAGAGCTATAAGGGGGCATGAGAAAACCTTGGCAGAAAGGATCAAGGAAAACGCTAAAGCTGTTTACACGTACGTGAGGAATAAGAGAATGACCAGAGAAAGGGAGGGCTGATCAAGGGTTGTAAAGGGAATTTGTACACGGAGCCTAAAGAGATAGGAGGGGTCCTTAATGAATACTTTTCTTCAGTATTCACAACTGAGAGGGACCTAGTTGTAGAGGAGGACTGTGTGAAACAGGCTGGTAGGCTACAGGAGGTCGATGCTGGTAAGGAAGATGTACTAGGAATTTTGAGGAACTTGAAGATAGATAAGTCCCCCGGGCCTGATGGGATTTATCCAAGGATTCTATGGGAAGCAAGGGAAGAGATCGCAAGGCCTTTGGCAATGATCTTTTCATCCTCACTGTCCATGGGTATTGTGCCAGAAGATTGTGCCAGAGAGGCAAACGTCATTCCCTTGTTCAAAAAAAAAAAAAGGGAATAGGGATAACGCCAGAAATTACAGGCCAGTTAGTCTTATGTCAGTGGTGGGCAAATTATTGGAAAGGGCTCTGAGAGATAGGATTTATGATCACTTGGAAAGGCACAGGTTGATTCGTGATAGTCAGCATGGATTTGTGAGGGGTAGATCATGCCTCACAAACCTTACTGAATTCTTTGAAGAGGTGACCAAACACATGGATGAAGGTGGAGCAGTGGATGTGGTATACATGGATTTAAGTAAGGCGTTTGATAAGGTTCCCCATGGTATCAGAAATTTTGGATCAGAAATTGGCTAGCTGTAAGAAGACAGAGGGTGGTGGTTGATGGGAAATGTTCATCCTGGAGTTCAGTTACTAGTGGTGTACCTCAAGGATCTGTTTTGGGGCCACTGCTGTTTGTCATTTTTATAAATGACCTGGATGAGGGCGTAGAAGGATGGGTTAGTAAATTTGCGGATGACACCAAAGTTGGTGGAGTTGTGGATAGTGCGGAAGGATGTTGCAGGTTACAGAGGGACATAGATAAGCTGCAGAGCTGGGCTGAGAGGTGGCAAATGGAGTTTAATGCGGAAAAGTGTGAGGTGATTCACTTTGGAAGGAATAACAGGAATACAGAGTACTGGGCTAATGGTAAGATTCTTGGTAGTGTGGATGAGCAGAAAGATCTCGGTGTCCATGTGCATAGATCACTGAAAGTTGCCACCCAGGTTGATAGCGTTGTTAAGAAGGCGTACAGTATGTTAGGTTTTATTGGTAGAGGGATTGAGTTTCGGAGCCATGAGGTCATGTTGCAGCTGTACAAAACTCTGGTGCGGCCGCACTTGGGAGTATTGCGTACAGTTCTGGTCACCGCATTATAGGAAGGATGTGGAAGCATTGGAAAGGGTGCAGAGGAGATTTACCAGAATGTTGCCTGGTATGGAGGGAAGGTCTTATGAGGAAAGGCTGAGGGTCTTGAGGCTGTTTTCGTTAGAGAGAAGAAGGTTAAGAGGTGACTTGATAGAGACATACAAGATGATCAGAGGATTAGATAGGGTGGACAGTGGGAGCCTTTTTCCTCGGATGGTGATGGCTAGCACGAGGGGACATAGCTTTAAATTGAGGGGTGATAGATATAGGACAGATGTCAGAGGTAGATTCTTTACTCAGAGTAGTAAGGGCGTGGAATGCCCTGCCTGCAAAAATAGTAGACTCGCCCACTTTAAGGGCATTTAAATGGTCATTGGATAAACATATGGATGATAATGGAATAGTTTAGGTTAGATGGGCTTCAGATTGGTTTCACAGGTCGGCGCAACATCGAGGGCCGAAGGGCCTGTACTGCGCTGTAATGTTCTATGTTCTATGTTCTACGGTAGGCTCATGCAGAAGGCAAGGAGGCATGTGATAGGGGGAAAACATGGCAGATTGAATTCAGAATGTCTGACCCTTAGAAGACAAAGGGTGATTGTGGATGGAAAATATTCAACATGGTGCTCATTTACGAGTGGTGTACCACAAGGATTTGTTCTGGGTCCTCCTCCATTTGTGATTTTTGTAAATGATTTGGATGAATGAGTGGAAGGGTGGATTAGTAAGTTGGCAGACGATATGAAGGTGGGTCGAGTTGTGGATAGTGCGGAGGGCTGTTCTAGGTTACAAAGGGACATTGATAGGATGCAGAGCTGGGCTGAGAAGTGGCAGATGGAGTTTAACCCTGAAAAGTGTGAGGTGATTCATTTTGGAAGGACAAACTTGAAAGCAGAATACAGGGTTCACAGAAAGATTCTTGGCAGTGTGGAGGAGCAGAGGGATCTTGGGGTTCATGTCCACAGTTCCCTGAAAGCTGCCACCCAGGTGGATAGAGTTGTTA